GCCATTGTTTGCAGTGTACCCAGGACAATGCTAAAGGGTGCCTGGTGGCAAAAAATAGTGAAGCTCCTAGAGGTAACAGGTAATTGAAACAAGAGGAGCTGAGGTTATAGCCTTGTTTCCTGAAATATCTGAATATCCACTCACCAAATGCTCAGTGGACTCAAAGATGAATCCAGGTTCACAAATAGACTTTACCTCCTGGGTAGGTTTTTTCACCTGCCTGTTCATCTCAGCTTCCCATTCCCTTCCATGGAAAGATGTGCCTTAGATCTCTTAAGTAGGCTGGTTAGGGAGAGGGTAGTGTTACCTATGGTTTCTTAGAGGAAAGAGAAGGCCCTGGAAAGAATAGCTTTCCTTGAAGAAAATAGAAACCAGTTTATAGACACGTGGCCCACAGAAAATACTGTGATTTTGTGTATATTTATGCACCAACTCGCTAAAAGTAGGTAAAGTGGTAAATGTATTCCAGAAAGGATAAACTAGATGTAAAGAACAAAAGTGGCATAGTGAAAAATATAATTGAAGTGCTTCCTAAAATCAGGTGAATGAATTATTTTTTTTTTATTTTATTTTTTTTGTGGTACGTGGGCCCCTCACCGTTGTGGCCTCTCCCGCTGCGGAGCACAGGCTCCGGACGCGCAGGCTCAAGCGGCCATGGCTCACGGGCCCAGCCGCTCCGCGGCGTGTGGGATCTTCCCGGACCGGGGCACAAACCCGCGTCCGCTGCATCGGCAAGCGGACTCTCAACCACTAGCGCCACCAGGGAAGCCCAAATGAATTATTTTTAAATGATGATACCAGTAAACAGTGTTAGCACTTAATTCTCATGTCACCAATACAACCTCTAAATGGGATAGAATGGAATCGCTGGAAATGTACTATAGATGAAAAAGCTGAGAAGTGGGATGGTAGATAGCAGACTCCTCAAGAAGTCTGAACTCCGGATTAGACATTTTACAACATGTGACCACGCGTATTGGCTTGCTTTGTAGCGATGAACTTATCTGCGTTATTGAGATGCCAATCTAATGACTGAAAGATGAAACTGGTCTATTTAAAAGCATTATTATTCAAGTGCTCTCTGTGTATTTAAACTAATTGTTGCATTAAATTCATTTTAGAGGGTGCTATTACCTTAGTAGTAAGAAGAGAGTAAATTCTGTAACACTGATGAAATCATGAAAATTCTGATATGAAGATTTGATTATTGAATGGTTTCCTTTATCTGCAGATACTTATTTTCCTGTAAATATCAGCAGGAGAGTTTACCTGAAGGAAAATAAAATTTTAAACTTTGCTGGGGAAATATCTAGTCACTCATCATTTTTCGATAGTTTCATTGTTGTTTTGGTTTTATCTGCATGTCTCTGTGGTCAAACTTTGTATGCAGTCAACACAAATGAGCATATAGAAATAACATGTAGACCAGCTAATCTTCCTAACTGTAAGTAAGAACTTTTAAAAGGTCCCAGGAATGGAATCCCCCCATCACAACACTGACATGTTTGCTCTAAATCCTCTGTCGTCTATTTTGAAGTTGATTAGTTGATAACGATTTTTCTTGTTCAGCATGTATTTTGCAATGTCTTCTCCCTTTGCCACCTGCCATTTAAGTTGAAAATTGCTTTTCAAAATGCTTTCTGTCCTCTTAAGTAAAATTAGGATCGATTCTATTATTAGTTTCAGTTTCTTACAAGAGCCTATTTCTAGAAAATCTATAGTTTTCTTTTTTTGATGCTATTTTTATCAGGTTTGATATCAATGTTATATGCCCCTCAAAAACTCATGCTTTTTTTTCTACAACACTAGTTTTATGAAGCAAATATAACAGGGATAATCAAACCCAACCAAGGGGCACTAAAAGAGATCACTGTTTTGGGGGCCTGAAACTTTTTTGTAGAATAGTTTATACTTTCTCAATCTTTAATTAAGAAATTGGTTTTAATGTTCTTTCTCTATTGGAATCAATTTTATTCAGTAAATCTGGCATCCAAACTTCGGGAAGCGCAGGGCCTGGGAAATGGTTCTGGATCCAAGGACCTTAGCCCAGGAGTTAAACCATGAGGAGACAAAAGTAATTTGTTAGTACAAAGTTTTACCACTTTTGAAATGCTACAGAACTCTCTTCCAAAGTAAAGTGCCTTTTTTTTTGTTTTCCCACAGTTCCTAGAAGTATTCAATGAATGTCAAAAGAGGAAATTAATCACTGCTCTATTAGAGGAAACTTTGTTGAATCTATATTAGAAAAGACGTTAAATACTCTGGCCATGTACAAAACTAAGTTTAAATACTGTAATCCCGCCCTCACCCTGAGTGTTTTGTAATCACCTTTTTTCAAACTTCTTCCTGTCTACTGTAAGTCAATAAATTACAGCTCTAGAAACTCTGCAAAATTTATCTTGGCTTTCTTTCCAGTGATGTCCTTATGTTGGATTGCATATTTATACACTGCTTTAAAAATCTGGTTAAATGTTGCAAACTGAATCCTGGTTTTAAAAAAATTGTAATGAATGCCTAGGTGGATTTTGCAGTATTACTAAGTCATGTCGACATCTATCACAGTATGTATATTTTGCGAGAAGGTGACAAATTAAAAAGTCATCAGTGACATCACATTGTATATTGAATAATTGTGGTTAAAATGTTTTGGTAGATTTTATTCACATAAAGTTTTTAAAATCATAACGAAGTCATAACTACGAATTCAAACAATATGGTCAAAATATATTTAACTTAAGGCACTACACACAAATTTCTTTAAAGCACACTCATGTCATTTATTTACATAGTATTTTAGGAATTTACAATACATACACATGTCCCATCTCATCTTTGTCCTTCACTTGTAGCTTTATATCCTCACAATGAAGTAAAAACCTCCAAATAAAAGGTATTAAATGCAATTATCCTTAAAGCTTACCAGATATGGGCAAGAGAAGGAAATACCCAAGAACAAGGCAAAGTTTTTTTTAATCCTTTAATGTTCCAAGTATCTTTCAATTCTTATACCAAGCTTAATGGAACAGTAACACAAAACCAGTGGTACAGAGCATTGAAATAATTCTTATTCTATTGCTGTTTACCAGAAAAACTTGCACATTAAGAATAGCAGCAGAACTGTCCCTACATTTACATAAGTAAATGTACTTATTCTGAATTCACTCACTGAATTAACAAACTTACTAAAAAGTTTTCCTATTACCTTTGAGTATTGTTGTCATAAACAGTTAAATCTTTCCTGGAGCCAAATACTTTCTACCACCCAGAAAACACAGAAGCATATTAGTCAATTATTTAACAAAATACACACCAAGTGAAAAAGGCTGGCTTTACTGAAATATTTTCTCAGTGTACTAGAGCAGTCATTGGCTTTAAGTGATCATTTTTAAATATACAACTGAATTAACATAAAGTTCAATATAATAATATATAAACGTCTCTTTGATTAAATACTCTTCTTGTCCCATCAACATATACAAAAAACATTTACAACTTTAATTCAAGTTAGTATTTTGAGAATGGAATAAAGAACAAGACAAATAATAGGTCTTCTGTTCAAAGGGCTGAGACACTGCTGGGGCATCCCTTCCTATTCCATCCTCCATAAAATCCACTCACAGGTTGCATGCTATGGACCGACTTCTGAAACTCATAACTGCCAATCAAGCCAGTACAACCACTAAAGCTCACACCACTGCAAAGACCAAGCTCTCCTCAATTAGTATTTTAGACATTTCAAAAAAATGCTCACTGCTTTAAATGTGACTGTTCTCCTGTCTTTTTTTTTTTTTTAATGGAAATGGAAGTAGAAAGAAATTTTTCTATTATTTTGTTCAGATCAACGATTAACCTTTAGGATAACTTTTATGTGAGGCAAAAACATCAGAAATAAAATCTGTCAAAAAGCAAAATGAGTCCTGGTGGTTTTATTTATTTATCATGCTGTTCTTAATACAGTCACCTACGACTGCATGCATGGACTATTCATGCAGGGTGTAGAAATGCTTCTCAAGAACCCCAAGTACAATGGGTACCAAATACCGGGATCAGGAGATCAGCAGTGACCACAGGATGAATTACGTTTGACGACTGGCACCACTGTTCTTGACCACCACGGATAATCAGCATTTAAGTGGGCTGCATATTTACTGTAGATTATCTTTGTATCTGTAAAACAGTTCCCTAGTTTATTTGTCAAAACTTTAAAGATCGCACTAGTAATATTAACTGCTTGCCTCAGCTGCTGATGAATGGTTCTTGAACTCAATTTTTCCTCTAATAGATGGAATCTCGTCTGCCACAATTCAGTTTCTTCCTACTAATCATGATTGTTAGAAGGTACCACTTAGCAAAGCTAGGATAACAGTTATTCACAACAAATCCTTCGCTCTGAACAAGTATGTTTTAAAAAATATGAGCGGAGTGGTTATTTCTATGAACCAAATATGGGAGAAAAACGCAGAGGCAGCGTTCAGGCTACTGAAGGTTAACAGAGTCCTGAGAGTTTCTTCAGCCACTTAACGCATGATTCATGTAAAAGATCAGAAGATACTAAATTCCATTTTAAATTTAGCTGCGCTATAGCCTAAAAAGTAAGGCATAAAATTCCCAAAGGTAAATAGAAAAATCTCTTTTCCTCATTCTGACCCAATCAAAACCAGATTCGTATCAGGTCATACATTTCTCGGCAGCACCTGGAGACCTCTGGTTACAAAAAACATGAGAAAGTTAAAAATGGTAACAAAAATTAATGAATTTTTAAAAATTATGATTTTACCTTGTGAGTTAGAAGAAAGTACACGAAAGTGAAGTGCAATTATAACCTTTCCTGAGAGCTGGGTTCTATGGGGATGTGGGAGGCTGCTCCCAGGCCACTCACCTCCCACCACCTGCTGTAAGTCACACAAAGTGTACACACATACATGCAACACACTGGTACGTACATACACACAACTAAATAACTTACACAAAGGCATTGAGTACAAAGTGAGGAAAGCACGTTTCCCTATTTTCTTAGTCTCTTCTTAGCAATACTCTTCAAAAGGTTTAACTTTTGAGGCCTCAATAGCTTAAGGGTCTTAACAAAGACACACTGGTGAAGAAGACTTAGGCTTTGTATCACGGGGTCTTTGCTTGTTTTTTATAATAGTTTTTCTTAAAATAATTTCTTCATATGCTAGATCTTTTCTGCCTGCTTGATCCATTTCAATTAACCATCACAGAGAATTTCCTACCTCAAGGGTTTACTTGGGATACAAACTCTATTAAAGGCACATATAAAAATATAGGAAAGTTTTCCTTCCTGATACACAAAATCCACACATTTTATAAAGATTTCTGTTGTGTAATTTACAAATGTAAAAATTTATTCAAAAAGCATACCCACTAAATTTTTGCATATTTTCATCTATAGATGTGTCTAATCTTCGTTGCAAAAAAAAAAAAAAGGGCAAAGGCAGTATTTTTCTTAAAAAAAACCTTTCTAGTTAGGGAAACAGTTGGTGTTAACTAATGATTTACTAGCAATGTTTTCTACGGTCAGAGTTTTTTGTATTAGCTAATGCCGCAAAACAAAACACAAGGAAAAACAAAATAATTGTAGCATGCTTGGTCTAAGATCTTTGTCTTTCAAAGTATACTTTTTCATAGTTGTAACACCATTCCTTGGGTGTGTCCTAATCACAGCCACTTTGTATAAACCCCAGCACATGTCACCCAATTAAAGGATCATCGTCATCATCTTGTAGCTGAAGTCGGGAAAATGGCCGGGGTCCAGAGAGTCTATTCTGCATGATTATGATGAGGCAGGTCAGAGTGGTTAAGACCAAGAGCGCACCGATAACAATTCCTATGGCTTCTGGGAGATTAATGCACCACTGGTCCACTAACAAACACTTAGTGTGGCCGAAGGTTCCATTATTGGGATGTGGCTTTAATCCCAGGATGTGGCACATCATTGGGTAGATATCCACAATGTTAATGGTGCTGTGCTGGTAGCCTTTGTGAAATGCAGGACCGTGGGCAGCTAGAAATGGATTCATACTAGGCAAAGAATTATCGTAACCATGGTCACCTACTGGAAAAGAACAAGATGATGTCAGTAAATAAGAGCAGCTTTTCTACCACAAAATAACTTGCTTCTAGTGTAAATACACTGCATTCTTGCCAGTGTCATTCCCATTAAAATTCTGATTAGTTGGGCCAAACAGGTGCCAGCAGTACAATTTTCTGTTTTCTTCAAGTCACAGCCACGTCCTCTATTTCACACACACACCACCCCCACCTCTTCTCGATCCGTCATGACCTCAGGCTTTAAAACTCTCTCTCAGTCCCAGCCCCACGTATTTCACCTGCCAGTGTCCAGCACTGTTTGCGCAAGCCCACTGCAAACAGCACCAGTGATAGAAAGAGTGGGCGGCCTGAGGGTCCTGAGTAACTGGGGAGAGCAGAAGTGAGTAAAACCAGTGAGTGGCAAGGAAGTTAGCCTGAAGCCTGACCTACGTCAGCTGCTCCTGGACAAGACATAGGATGTGGAATACACCACTGGTCTACTGACAGCTGATGGACACCTCAGCATCTGGAGGGCCAGGGGACTGAGCACGTTACGGAAGGGATTCTTGCCTTGAATGTGACGTCTAACCTGGTGACTCCAACTTGTAACTCTAGTAAAAGTCTAACTCAAAGAAAAACCTGATGGTCCCTGATATCATTCCAATACCAGATTCTCAAGCTTTTGCTTTATTTTTTAAAATATTGCCTTTTAATGCAGACCAGTTACATTTAATAAGCTCCTACTTCCATATGAAGTGCAGGTGACTAAGTGATGAGTGGATCAGTGTTACATATTCTTTAATTGTATGTTTGAAATATTTCATAAGAAAAACAACCCACGTGACCAATACAATAAAAAGCACAATATAACATTATATATAGGTATTATGATTTCAGTAATATAAATGTATATGATTATAATGTGAATAATATAAACCATATGATTTAATAATAAAAATATGCATTTGTATGTAACAGAGAAAAAGATTAGAAGGAGGAAAACACCCACAATTAACATCTGACTGTACTTCTGTATCGAAGGATCATGGATAGTTTTTGTTCTCTTTTCTGAACTTTTCTGTATTTTCCAAGTTTTCAATAATTAGGATACAACGTAAGTATCAATAATATATCAACTCTAATGGCCCTCAGTCTCATCCTTGCCTGATGCGTCTGAACTGCTATAGATCAGGGATCTGCAGACTACAGCACCTGGCCAAATTTAGCCCTCCGCCTGTTTCTGTAAAGGAAGCTTCATTGGAACAGCCCATGTCAGTTTGTTTATGTATTGCCTGTGGCTGCCTTCCCACTATAAAGGTAGGATTGAGTAGTTGAGACAGAGACCAGCTGTCCCACAAAGCCTAAAATATTTACTATTTGGCTTTTTACAGAAAAATTTTCTGACCCCTGCTATGGTTTACAAAATCAGATTTTTGAAAAATGTACTTGAATTGAATTTTCCTTATGGGCAAAAAGCTGTAATTCTCCCCTATACATTTCTTCAGTCTGAGGAGAGATTTTGATCCATCTGTTTTGTTTACTTGGTCGATTTTTGCTTGCATACTTTCTGGTTCTTGCCCAGTGTTCTAACTAGCTGTAGCACTCAGGTAAACAATTTCATCACTGGGGAAAGACTTAAGGTTACCTGGACACATTTTTTTAACACAAAAAAAGAAAAAAGGATTTGAACTAGCTAATCTCTCCCCCTTCACTTTGTTTCTTGACTTCTCTTTTATTTTCTTTGTTTCTTTACTACTCTCTTATTTTTACAAATCAAGAGAACCAGCCTTGAAAGTTACTGCCAGTAACTGAAGTTTTTGTAAAAAAGTAAAACTACTCCTTCACCCTTAAGATCACCCAACCTTCTAATCTAAGGATGAAACTGTGGTTTCTAAAAATGGCTCTCAGATGAAAACCTGAGAATCACCTAGTTGAAAATCAAACTAATTATACTGTGTGGACATCTCTAAATGAAAGTATCCTGTTGGTGGAACAACGTCCCGATGTGTGATTTGTCCCTAGGAGTCAAAAGGAAAATTCTAAATCAATACTTACATTTTAGTGATGATTTATTTAGCACAATTGTCCAGCCTTCATCAGCCATCAAAATAATAGGTTGAATTCGATCATTATGTTGGTAATGAAACCTGGCAGGAATGTCTTCTTTGAGATAAACATTCATGTGAGGGTCACAGACTTTCAGTTTGTTATAAACCTTTGTTCTGTCTGGAAGAAAAGGAAACAGCAAAGGAAAAAGTCATGTTGACTGATAAGGAAAAAATATTTCTAACTAGAATAACTGGAAATAAGTCCTGAACAATGTTATCTATTAAAGCCCTTTAATCATTAAAAAAACAGAATAATAATGATGTAACAGTGTTGGGGACACACACACACACACACACACACACACACACCTTTCCAAGCATTCACGTATCTCTCTTCATTTTGTGATTATCCCTGGTGGACTTTTATACAAAGAGGACAAATTTCACATCTAGCTTCCTAAGTAAATATAAACTAATTACATATTACTGCTAACTACTAATTCTAAGATTGGTAGACGAAAGGTATATCTCACACAAAAGTCCAAGATGTTTTTTAAGGATAAAAATTTCCTTTTTCCATTAGTGTGAATAAGTAAGAAATATATCAACAAAGACCTACTGTATAGCACAGGGAACTATATTCAATATCTTATAATAACCTATAATGGAAAAGAATCTGAAAAAGAATATATATATATATATATATATGTGTGTGTGTGTGTGTGTGTAAAACTGCATTTTGTTGCTGTACACCAGAAACCTTATAAATCAACTATACTTCAATAAAAAAATAAAAATTAAAAAAAAGAAATACATCAAAAAGCAAGGAGGGACTTCCCTGGTGGCGCAGTGGTTGGGAATCTGCCTGCCAATGCGGGGGACACGGATTTGGAGCCCTGGTCTGGGAAGATCTCACATGCCGCGGAGCAACTGAGCCTGTGCGCCACAACTACTGAGCCTGCGCTCTAGAGCCCGCAAGCCACAACTACTGAGCCCGCGTGCCACAACTACTGAGTCCACGTGCCTAGAGCCCGTGCTCTGCAACAAGAGAAGCCACCGCAATGAGAAGCCTGCATGCTGCAATGAAGAGTAGCCCCTGCTCGCTGCAACTAGAGAAAGCCTGCATGCAGCAACGAAGACCCAACGCAGCCAAAAATAAATTAATTAACTTAAAGAAAAAAAAGCAAAGAAATAATCCCTTTGAACCTAAACCTTAAGCTAACTGCCTAAAAACTTATACATCAGGGGGAAAACATAATCCCGCTCTGAGTGAGTATAGGAGTGTATGGCTGTGAACTACAAAACGTCTGAGCTTCGTTCTTTTACAAAACCCTTCCTCCTCAATCAACCGCCCCATTCAAATATTCCTTGGCTAAAAGTTTACTTACTTATTTTGGGAAGTATTGCAGCAACGGGGGTCAAGTCTACAAGAGTGTAGTCTGAGGGGTCGATGCAGCGATCCAAGTTTATCAGCTTGTCCTCAGAACACTGGGTCATCCCATGATCACTTGTAATGATCACATTAAGATCTTCCCACAGTCCTAACACCTTGAGTTTGTGAACTAGCTCCCCGATATGGTCATCTATTTCTTTCAACACTCGGCGCATGTTTTCTTTATCTTCAGGGCCATATTTGTGGCCACTTGCGTCTGGCTCTTCCCAATAGAGTGTTGCAAAGGTGACAGGTGGGTTCGAATTGCTCAGCCACGTGGAGACGTTACTGAGTCTCTCCTCAAATGACACTGAGGGGCTGTAATTCATGAAATAGGAAGGTGTGGTATTGTGAATGGGCACGTCGGTACCAGGCCACATAGCAGCAGCACTTGATCTGTTTTCCTGAAGCTGGTTGGTCACCCAAATAGGGACTGCCTCATTCCACCAAAAAGGATCCTTGTCATTACTGTCAGAAAAATGTTTCTTTGTGATGACATCATACATGGAATTAGCCACAATGCCATGGCTTTCTTCATACAGGCCTGTCACGATGCTGTAGTGGTTTGGAAATGTTTTTGTGATAAAGGCATTTTTAACCTGCTCTACCAAGACACCTTCTTTGATAAAATTCTGGAGATGAGGAAATTCATAGTTGTGTAGATAGTCAGCTCTGAAGCCATCAAAGGATACCAGTAGTAACTTGGGTGGCAAAGTACAGGAAGAGTTCCCTCTACAACCAGTTATAAGTCCAGAAAACAAACATATCAGCAATAACTTCATAGTGAACATGCTGAAGGAGGGTAGTCAGGGTTCCTAAAATATAAAAACACAATTCATAAGTAGTAATGCTATTTGAGTTGGATTAGGTTTCAGAAGTTTAGTCATCGGGAGAAGAAAACCAACATTTATAAACTTTTTATACACCAGCTTTACCTACATCAACTTGAAAATTAAATAATGTCACTTACTGAAAGATAACTGAATAAAGATAAAGTGGGAAAAAATAAAAATTGCCTTTACTTGTCCAGTTGTATGTCCTGCCCCATTTTTCATGCTCTGAAGGGGATATGGGTCGTTCTTGTGCCCCATACCAATGGGCTGCCTTGTTTGTTTGCAGCAGCAGAAGTTATTCTAAAGGTTTAATAAGAACAAACGAAGAAACAAAAACAACCCTTTTGCACAAAACAGAAATAACGCCAAGCTTTCAGAGGCTCCAGGGAGGGCGATTATTTTTCTAGTTTCATGACTGGTACCCTATAGTTCCTTTCAATCCACAGAAATAGGGGGTGGAAACTCTACCATACTGGCTCATCATCAGTTCCTGTTGAAAAATACTGGCATGAAAAAGGGGAGTAAGTAATAAATACTACGTGAGGAAAAGGTCCCACCTCAATCTGAACCTGCCCAATATTCACAGGAGGCTGACAGACAGACAAAGCCTACAGGAACTTGGATGTCACGGTAGTTTCTGAGGAAATGCAACAGCTGTTGAAATGCATTTCATCACCACATCCCTTTTAAACTTCCTTTTTACTGTCAAAGACGTACAGTTGGCCCTCCATATCCACGGGTTTTACATCCATGGATTCAACCAACCGCGGATGGAAAATCCAGAAGGCTGACTGTATTCGTGTACTATTGCCACTTTATATAAGAGACTTGAGCACCTGCAGCTTTTGGTATCTGCTGGGGCTCCTGGAACCAATCTCCCTGCGGATAATGAGGGGCCACTGTAACTATCCTGCCTACCACCCTAGGCTCAGAGCGCTCCCTGATTTTTTGGTTCTTTTTTTAACAATCTACTGATTACAAAAAAACAGATTTCCCCAAACAAATCTCCCTACCTTCAGACTCTATCTTCTTTGGTTCCTAAGCAAATAGGAGATGTCATTTAGGTAGAGTGAGTCTCCGCTGCTGCCGTACTTCTTTTTTTATTATTTTTTAATTTTTTTGCCACGCCAAGAGGCCTATGGGATCTTAGTCCCGTGACCAGGGATTGAACCTGTGCCCTCTGCATTGGAAGTGCAGAGTCTTAACCACTGGACCGCCAGGTAAGTCCCCTGCCACACTTCTTCAAGTCCCCAGGGCCTCCTGTCCAGAGCCCTTCCATCTCTTAACTGACCTTCCTACCTCGATCACCGTCCCCTTATTCACCCAACATCCGCTCCCAACTTAACCTTCCCAGGAATAGCCCTGTCCATGACATTTCCTTGATAAAATCAGTATTCAAAGTCCCCCAGCCTATACAGAAACACCTCTGCCTGGCATTCAAGTCCCTCCATTATCCAGGCACAACTCACGTACAAATTACTATGAAACAGTTACAGAAATCATGGTCAACCTTAATTCCCTTTTACCACACATTGCTGTCACAGTCTGTCTGAGATGTATTACAGAGACAATAATCGTTTATCTAGGTGACCTATAGGTGACCTATAACAGCTCTTCAGTAATAATTTGTGTTTCCAAACCTCTTAAAGTTACTTTCTACACATGAAATCTTTGCCCAAATACTCTCTTAGGTCAATAAAAAAAAAATCATTCAATAAATAATATAACTGAAGTCTATAACACCAAAATTTATGTATGTGCCATTTATCAGAGGACAAGGGCTTTATACTTTTCAAACATAAAATACTCAAAATAGGGGCATAAATAATCAAAACAACGAATCTGGCTGTCATCTTGGAAGAACAAAGACGAGCTTGAATGAATTCTGTTCTACAACACCACGATTTCTTGTAATGCTGCGCTTGAGACCCATACATCATAAAGCATTGTTTTTAAAACTAAGCCCTTTGAGGAATCATGTCACAGTATGTCTAAAACTTTTCCAACGGAGTTCCTCTAAGAGCAGAGGGGTGCCGAGACAACTGTATATCCACGTGCAAAAGAATGAATTTGGACCCCTCAGCTCATACCATGTACAAAAATAAACTCAAAATGACCAAGATTAAGAGCTAAAACTATAAAACTCTTAGCAGAAAATATAGGAATAAGTCTTCATGACCTTGAGTTAGGCAAAGCCTTCTAAGATACAGCATCAAAAGCACAAGTGACGAAAATCATAAATAAATAAATTGGACTTCACCAAAATTGAAAGCTTTTCCATTTCAAAGGATATAATAGAGAGAACAGAAAACCCACAGAACGGGAGACAATATTTGCAAATCATATATCTGGTAAAGGATTTATATCTAGAATATATAAAGAACTGTAACAACTCTAAAAGTTAAATAATCCAATTAAAAAATGAGCAAAGGATCTGAAAAGATATTTCTCCAGATATAGAGATGGCAAATAAGCACATGAAATTATGTTCAACATCATTAGCCATCAGGGAAATGCAAATCAAAACCACAATGAGATACCCCTTCACACCCAGTAGGATGGATATAATAAAAAAGATAATAACAAGTATTGGCAAGGATGTAGAGAAACTAGAACTTTTATACACTGCTGGTGAGAATGAAAATGGTACAGGCACTTGGAAAACATTCTGGTAGTTCTTCAAAAGTTTAAACAGAGTTACCGTACGACCCAGAAAATCTACTAGTAGGCATATGCCTCAGAGAAATTAAAACACAAGTCAATGATAAAACTTGTACACAAATGATCACAGCAGCATTATCTGTAAGAGCCATGAAGTGGAAACATCTCAAATGTCCGTAAGTGATAAATGGATAAGATGTGGTATATCCATACAATGGAATATTATTTGGCAATAAAAAGGAATGAAGTGCAAATATATGTTATTGCTTGGATAAACCTTTGAAACATTGTGCTAAGTAAAACAAAAGGCAGTCACAAAAGATCACTTATTGTATGATTCTATTTAGATGAAATGCCTAGATAGGCAAATCTATAGAGATAGAAAGTATATTAGATTTGTCTGGAGCAAGGGGTTGAGGAGAAATGAGGAGTAAATGCTCATGGATACCAGGTTTCTTTTTGGGGTGATGAAAATGTTCTCAAATTGACTGTGGTAATGGTTGCACAATTCGTAAAAATGTACACTTTAAATGAGTAAACTAGACAGTATGTGGATTTTACCTCAATAAAACCATTATATTAAAAAAAAAGAGTAGAGAGAAATGAAATTGTAATCTTAAAAGCATCTGGATTGTCCTGCCACAAAACAGGAAACATCTCTGATGTTTCATCTTACCTCAAAAATTATGTGAAATGTGTACTCTACACCACAGACCTGAGTTTTTTAACGTGAATGTGTTTCACCTCATTTCCCATGTGCAAAACAATAAAACAAAAACCTGTGTCCGCCCCTCTCTCACACAAAATACATACCAATCAAAATCTTTCTTCCCCAAATCTTGAGTGAATAGGAGGGTCAAGGCACATGTGCTGTTTACCCTGTGGTTCACTAACCCCTAGCACACTGCTGGATTCTTGTCTCCAGACTTAGAAGCACAGACAAAGTGGAAAGATTAGAGGCTCTGAAATCAGAAGGATCCCAGAACTTGAGCCCACATTTAGTAGACGGGCAACTGTGGGCAGATCTACCAGCTTCAGTTTCTGTGTTTGTAAAATGCGGATACATAAAGTGTTAAACAATATAGGCCCTCAAATTTAGTCTCTTTTTTATCCACAGTTACAAAGCTGTTATGTTAGGAAAAAAGTCTGTACCGTGACAGGCGGAATGATACTACTGTGAAACTATAAAGTAGATAGAAATAATTTAGGCTAACCTCTTCTTTTTACACAGGATGAAGATGAAGTCCCTGGATTGGCCAAACTCAGGAAGCAATTCGTAGCCTTACTGTCTGTACTCTTACGAATTTCAGGTCCTTAACAAGTTTATAAATCTAGTAACAGCGAGTTTACAAGTCTGGTTTTAATCTCCAAACTATGAACGGGACTTTTCCTGCTTTCATTAATGGTGCCTGTATCTATGTCTACTGCATTCTGTTTCATCCCAACAGGAGTGTTAAGCTATAAACAAAACACCAGTGAGAAGTTCTCAAGTATTTCCAAGGAATAAGAAAATCACTAATTGCTATATTACAAAGCACTGGGAGAAATTCTGTAATTTTTCAAACCAAAAAGATATCAAAGGGAAGGAAAAAAAGCAGAGTCACCGGAACGACACCCAGATAATCCCAACCGAAGTTGTGTGTAGTTTTCTTCAATTCAGGGCCAAAACACACTCTCCCTCATCTGGGATGACTTTCTTACTTGGATGAAATGTATCTCGGGCAATTCTCACTGGCATTCTTAGCTGAAATTGGGGGAGTGTGATAGTCAAAGGATATGATGAAAGCTATTTGCCGCCATTAGCATGCCATCTGCTCTGTAATACAAAAGCCTTATTCTAAACACTTCACAAATACTATTTATAATGAAACTCTTACACAGCTTTAAAATAAAATAAAAATAAAATAGCATTGTCTATTCACATAGATAACATTGGTGGTTTTCCCTAGATTATTATTATTAATTTTCTTGATATTCTAAAGAAAAACTAAAACTACTCTCTGAAAGACTCTTAACAACTCTAGGATTCTAAAGTATTCTTCAATTTTCCAGCACATACAAACTTTTCCGGCATCTTCAAAACAGCTATACTTAATCTTACTTTCTACATATATTATTTCTTTCTACAAAATAACTCCTTGTGTACTTCTTCTGTGTTCATCAAATTTCTCCCAAATTATATTTTGTAGCTGATTTAAAAGCAGGGAGGAGATATTTATATTTTATATATTTTAGTTATAAAATATCTCCTCCCTGCTTTTAAATTCTTTTAATTTCCTTAAAATAGCTTGGAACAACCTCTGGAAAAAAGGAAGAAAGAAAAGAAAACCGGAATATTAAAAGGAGCAGTTGACTTTCTATAGTACTGGCAAGGTTTCCAGCTTGGGTCCACCAGATGGCCTGGTGGTTAAAGAAGAAACCCTAGTGGAGTCAAGGCTGGAATAAACCTGAATCTGTTCGTGGTCACTAGCTGTGCTTCACGTCTCTGAGCAGGACTTTCCCCATCTGTATAATGGGACGCTGTGATCTCACAGGGTTGCAGTGCCCAGAAAAGGAAGCGTTATTTGTAAAATGCTTAACACAGTGCCCGGCCGATAAAAAGCACTTCAGTGTTACCTTTCTTGTTAGGTTTTCTAGGAAATTCGTTTTTAAATTTGGCTGTGTCACTCCCATCAACTCTAATCGAATACTCAGGCGGAGGTAGGTCGATCGATACCTTGGACCGCGTTCCTGTAAAATCAAACGCCCGCCCCCTCGGCCTCCACCTCCGTCCCGCCACCGCCCCCCGCCTCCACCCCATACCCCACCGTCCGCCCAGGCCGCGCCTACCTGCTCAGTTTCCTTTCCTCTTCCCACCCCGCCCTCGGCCGCCCCCAGCCAGGTACCTCCCGGCCGCTCCGGGGTCCCTCGCGGCTGTCCGCTAGGGGGATGTGTGTGTGTGTGTATCAAGGGTAGGGGATCTCACCACCTCTATTTTCAAAGCCCCTAGTGGACGGGGGAGGGGGTGGCATTTCCCTCCGGAACGCCGGGCGCGCTAGGCTCACACTCACCCGCTGCCGCCGCTTCTCTGCAGCACGCGGACCCGGCGCGCGCGGAACCCGGCGCTCCTGGGTCTTGGGAGCGACGGAGACCTGAAGGCGCAGGAGCCAGACCGAGCTCTTCCTGAGGCGCCTGCGCACTAACGGGCGCCCCTGATAACAGCCCCTTCCTCCCTGAGATTCGCGCTACCCGAGGCGCTCCGAGGGTGCTCGGCTGCCCCGCGCGCGACTGCGGAACAGTTTTACAGCTCGTGGGGACTCAGCGGGCGACGGAGTGTGACACATGTCCTCGGATTGGACACCTCAGCCGCCGTCGATGTAACTCCCTTTCCGATTGGTTGGATTCAGGTACAACCTGGAGACAGAGGCCTTGGGGGGGTCGAGTTGGATCTAGTAGGAGAGGTTAGTTCCACTCTCCTGCCACGCCCCATCTTCTAGCGTCCCAGGGCTGGTTGCCCTTCAGGGGACCTGAAACACAGCGAGTCCCTGAAAGGGCACCTGGATATTGTCAGCCTCAGGCTTACTGCCATTCTCCGTTCGCCCCTAGTTAACATGCACCTGGCGGTAAGGTGTCTGCAGGAAAAACGACTTTGGCAGCCCCAGGGCCCAGCACGAGCAGCTTTAGCCAGTTCCAGTTACTTGGGAAAAATACAGTGTGGCTCTACCAAAGCAGTATGTGTCCGTGTTGCTGGAGAAGTGATCACCGTATTACACGCGAATTGAGTACTAGGCAATTTATGAGTAAGGTTGCAAGAAATACAGAAACACGGTCCTTGCAGTAGGGAACTAGGAATGGCTACCAGCTGAGAAATGGGCGTTTCTTTTTAACACGCGTGTGGGTCTGGAGCTTTAGTGTAGAGCCATTACCAAGACCCCAGAGTCTGGAAGCAGCTGCAGAGACAATCTGGGGCTGGATATTTTCTGTCGATTATTAGTTTGTACCTTCAGAAGTTAATTCCAGTTTCAAAGCTCAAGGCTGGCCTATGCACTGGTGAATTGGGGCATCTTAGATCCGTCCGTGGGCTGCCAGAGCTGGAAGGAGTGGCAGAGGCCACGCTGTCCAGTCCCTGCGATCTGCCAGACCTGAGTTTGAATCCTCACTCAGCAGCTGAGCAATCCTGGGCCAGTATCTCCGCCTGTTTGAGCCTCCATGCCCTCATCTGCAAAACAGGCCCCCTTACAGTACTAGCCTCTTCGGGTTATTATCAAAAAATGAGATAAAACAGTAAAGTACTCAGCACACGTGCTAAGTGTCAGTGATTGTTATTGCTATGACCAGAAAAATGTTCCTCGACGTGAACAATGGTCAGGGGAAAGCTGAGCTCTGGGGGAAATTACATGACATACAACTGAGTTAAATTTAAACGTCCTGGCATTTGGGGCGTAAGATTATGCATGTCCCGTTTGTTCATTCACTGGGTACAAGACTGCATAAAGAGTAGACAGAAACCGGCTGCCGTATACGTCAGGTGGTGATGGAGACAGCTGCTGTACGGGCATCAGAAGAGAAGGGCTCCCTTCAGTCACTGTCCCTGCCCCTGCCCATGTGACTGGGTCAGATCAGGGAGTCCTATGCAGCCTGGTCTCCCCTGTAAGATAACGTGGTCAAGAACAGAGGGACAGAATGATTCATAAGGATCTTTTTGTCCCAAGCATCTGTTATCCTACAAATATTTACTATGTCAACCACAAATGAAAATCTATTTCAGATGCTTAAATAATAAGGATATTTCTCATCTCACAAAACAGGAAGGCCAGAGGTAGGGCAGCCTTCAGAACTGGTTGAATTAGCAGCTCAACAATGTCACCGTGTCCTGAGTTCTTTCTAACTCCTCATGGAGCTATTAACAGAATTGGCTTCTGGTTCCTCTAGTGGTAAAGATAACAGTAGCAGCAGGGATCATATGACTCATTTTTCACTTCCTCTGGGCAATGGACGTGACTTCTTAGTTTTTTTGTTTTTTGTGTTTGGCTCCAGCAACTATCTCCTTCAGTCACTCTACAATTGTGTCATATGCCCAAACCTAAGCCAGCATATGAAATTCAGCAGACCAATTCAGTCTGCACTTCGAGCTGAGTTCTCTTTACCAACCTGCACTTCTTCTGTCAATGGAAGTGAGGTGTAGTGGGTGCTGGGAAGGCCACCAGAGAGTCCACTATAGGGTCATTGGAAGCATTTAATGATAATAAAAGAAAACATAACAGTAACAAATTCTCCATTTCCAGTGTGATTTTTCTGATATGTTCCTTTATATAGAGAGACAAAATAATAATGTTCATTTATAATTTTCTTTCAGCTCAGCTTTTGAAAAAGGAATTTCATATAAATCTTAGAAATAGGGATGAAATTTAAGCCCATTTTTGTGTTGGAGATTGAAATGAACTAGGAGCTATAGTCTAAATCCGTCATGTACAAATGAATGTGGTGCCCCAGAGAGAACCGACTTGGCTAAATTCACACAAACTAATTACAACTAGAGTCTTTGCCTCCATGGCCAATGTCAAGTTTGGAAGCAGCATGTTAGAGGGAGTATCTTTTTCCCCCCATTAAGTAGACTCAAGACTTAACATTTATTCATTAGTGTAAAATATTTAAAATGTTTTATCCTGTTTTCAGAATCAACGACATAGCTCTTCATGCAGTTATTTTTCTTTTAAACTCCTAATTGGGACGCATCACTCATTGTTGGCAGGAATGGGTCAGAAGCTAGAAATTACAGGAAAAAAGTTTCACAAGAAAAGTCACACCCTGCCCCAAGAAAAACAATTCCTGTCCACTGCTCAGTCTGGTTTAACGACAAAACTGAAACCAGTGAATCAAATTTCAAGTCGCAAGGAATGTATTTTAAGTTTCACTTTTTAATATATATTAGATGTTACTGTGAAGAAAACATAATAGAGGTTTTTCTCTTACATATGATGGGGAAAGGACCTTAGGAATCATAGTACTTTAATAATTTTGAAAGTTTAACACAAACTCTGCATCCACCCCATTTTCAGCAAGATTGCATTTCAATAATCTCAACAAATAAGACTATAAACTATTTTAAATGCTCATGTTAAAAGTGATCCTGTATTATCCATCATGAACTACTTAGTGTTAGACATTCTTCCCTCTACAGGAATTTTTTTAAGTATTTAATAAAGTTGTGCAAGAAATAGGAGAAATTCTTTTGAGGCCCTCCTATGTGGAAGGCAGTGCGCTAAATTTTAGGAAAGATGCAAAAATAAGTAAGATTCAATCACTGTCCTCAAGGTACCTCTAATCCAGAAAGGCACATGGAGAAGATATTACTTTGTTTCTTGGCCTTCCCAGAATCCATTTCCCCTTCTGGGTGTTCCTCCAGAAAACCACCCCACCTTCACTCCTAGTCGTGAGAGTCTTTTGGGGCTGACAACACTCCCCTCTTCTCCGGCATGGACATCTTTAGGGCAAATTTTGACCTAACTTGAGGGGTTTCCTGGGGCATGGGACTTCTAGTGCCAAAACCAGAAAAGTCCCAGACAAATTGCGATGAGCTGGTTACACTTAACTCAGACCCAAGCCTGGCCTGTTCGAGCTAATTCTGCTTCCTTGACCAGAGGAATTAGTTCTGTGATGGGTGGTGGGGACACGCCCCAGGCCAGACTAAAGAGATTCAATCCTGAAACATTTGTTGAAACAATAGAGAGTCAGTCTTTCAGCAGGAGCAGCTAAATAAGTAGAATACAGGCATCCCTCATTTTACTGCCCTTCACAGATACTGCGTTTTTTAACACATTGAAGGTTTGTGGCAACCCTGCATCGAGCAACTCTATCAGCACCATTTTCCCAACAGCATTTGCTCACTTTGTGTCTCTGTGTCACATTTTGGCAATTCTTACAGTATTTCAAACTTTTACATCATGATGATACTTGTTATGCTGGTCTGTGATCAGTGACCTTTGATGTTACTCATGTAATTGTTTTGGGGCACCACAAACTGCTCCCATGTAGGACAGCACATTCAATCAACAAAAGCTGTGTGTGTTCTGACTGCTCTACCAACCAGCTGTTCCCCCATCTCTCTTCCTCTCCTCACGCCTCCATATTCCCTGAGACACAACAATATTGAAAATAGGCTAATTAATAACCCTACAGTGACCTCTGAGTGTTCCTATGAAAGGAGGATTCCCATGTCCCTCACTTTAAATCAGAAGCTAGAGATGATTAGTCTCAGTGAGGAAGGCACGCTGAAAACCAAGGTCGGCTGAAAGGGAGCCGAGGTGTGAAAGCAAAGGAAAAGTTCTTAAAGGAAGTTAAAAGTGCTGCTCCGGTGAACACGTGAATGATAAGAAAGTGAAACAGCCTTAATGCTGATACGGAAAAAGTGTTAGCGGTCTGGATGGAAGATTAAACCAGCCACAGCATTCCCTTAAACCAAAGCCTGATCCAGAGCAAGGCCCTAACTCTGTTCAATTCTATGAAAGCTAAGAGAGATAAGGAAGCTGCAGAAGAAGGGTTTGAAGCTAGCAGGGCCGGTTCATGAGGTTTAAGGAAAGAATCTTTTTCCATAACATAAAAGTGCAAGGTGAAGCAGCAGGTAGTGATGTAGAAGCTGCAGCAAGTTATCCAAAAGATCCAGCTAAGATAATTAACGAAGACGGTTACATTAAACAACAGACTTTCAATGTAAATGCAACAGGCTTCTATTGAAAGAAGCTGGCATCTAGGACTTTCATAGCTAGAGAGGAGAAGTCAATGCCTGACTTCAAAACTTCAAAGGACAGGCTGACTTTCTTGCTAGGGGCTAACGCCGCTGGTGACTTTAAGTTGAAGCCAGAGCTCATTTACCATTCCAAAAATCCTAGGGCCCTTCAGAATTATGCAAAATCTACTCTGCCTGTGCTCTATAAATTGAACAGCAAAACCTGGATGATAGCACATCTGTTAAAAATATGGTTTACTGAATATCTTAAGCCTACTGTTGAGAGCAACTGCTCAGGAAAAAATACTTCTTTCAAAATGTTCCTACTTATTGATAATGAAGTGAATGAAGGGAGCCCTTCTCTCCTGATGCCCATACAGCAGCTGTCTCCATCACCCCCTGACGCATACGGCAGCCAGTTTGTGTCTACTCTTTATGCAGTCATGTACCCAGTGAATGAACAAACGGGACATGCATAATCTTACGCCCCAAATGCCAGGACGTTTAAATTTAACTCGGTCATATGTCATGTAATTTCCCCCAGAGCTCAGCTTTCCCCTGACCATTGTTCACGTCGAGGAACATTTTTCTGGTCATAGCAATAACAATCACTGACACTTAGCACGTGTACTGAGTACTTTACTGTTTTATCTCATTTTTTGATAATAACCCGAAGAAGCT